GCGAAAATTAGGTTTTTCTCACTTTAAACACCGCTTCTGTTCACTACAGAGGAGATTTACTAGGAAGTAAAATGATGGGTTGCTGATGTGATTAGACAGTGGCCTGTTAACCTTACCCTTTCAACTTCTTATTTTTATTAATAGGTAAGTAAAATCGACTTGATCTAACTAGGATGAATCAATGTACTCTCCCATAGCTTCACTAGTGGATTGTCAACCGAGTAGCATCATTATCTTTCACTGGTTCGGCGATTCCTATTAATGTCGTGCCATGGCCCCTTTGTCGAGCTCCATCTATTAATTAACGCCGGACTCAGCTCCAACATTACAAGTCCCAGAACGAGCGCTTATTTACAAACAAAAGTGTCGTCCCGTTGAAAGCTGTCCAACAAATACGTCCCTTAATCAATCCTATAGTCAATAAGTAGCTTTCATAGAAAACGTACTCGTGTGAAACTCGGTATCAATATTTTCTATGAAATTAGAGCCAAAAGTTCCCTAATTATGTGATGACCTGGTATGGCAGTTCTTTCTTCTTCAGTTGTTTTCTAGATCTTGGTCTGGGAACTGCCCAAGCACCTGATATAACGAAGAAGGGTGCCTAAAGGAGCGATTCTCGGGGACTTAATGTTGTTTTTTTTGTAAAATGTAACTTGCTTCTGCACTCTCTAGGCCTTCTGCTGCTGAGTTGCACCCAACTATTTTGTGGATCGGATTTCTCCAGACATTACTTTAGGGCTACGTAAGAAATAGTCTAACAATGTCAGCCGACCGCGTCTCACCGTAAGATGATCTCCAACAAGGGGAACTGAGCAAACAATCCCGGCAAACGTAGAATAACGCAGAAGATTGAGCTGTCCCAAAATAAAGTGACTCGGAAATTCCTAGACCGAATGCTGTAAAAGGAGCCTTCCATTCTTTTGAATACATTCATATTCAACAAAAATTGTCTGGGAAGATAGAAATAATACTGTGTAAATGGGCTGGGCGCTTATGCTTTTGTATACGATACGAACGATTCAAACGCTGACTTGGTTTTGAGGAGAAATCAACTAGGTGGCTTATTCCGAGGCAAATTGTCGTTATCAAGAGCTCCAAATTTTAGTTTCACCCATCTAAACGAAATAAAAATTCTTTTCAAATATTCCAACCTATGCAGACTGACGGGAAAACTCCTTAATAATCCAGTTCAAGGAAAAGAGTGTCTCGACATAGGTTGATACCATGGTGTAAATTGCAATACCCCTCATGTCCCTTATCCGTAGGTGATACTTAGTCCACAGGCTACTGACCATCGGCTAGGCTGCTGCCCCTATCCACCTTAGGTTAGCCGAGCCAGAACTCTACCTCTGAAGGCGTGGCCCGCGCCCCGCCTCCTGTCCACTGGGTGCGAAGACTTAGTGAGAAACAGAAAGGAGTTCTAGCGCTCCGTCTGATGTCAGATGACGTTCGTGCCGCATTCGATGCCATTTGATCGTAACGTCCTATGCTATGTTCTGGTTGCATCCACGTCTATATTTATCTACAGTAACACCTTTGCAGCTGATTTTGTTTACGATGACAGGTAATTAGTGTGTTCTGGTATTTATTTACACTTACATTTTCTTATTAATTTACGTCGACATCAAGTTTTTTCTTGTTAATTAACGTCAGCAAAAAATTATCAGAGCATTTTTGTGGGCCTTTATATCGTTTACTCTCATTTGGCCAGATCTAGTTTGAAAAACCAAATCTCTTCTATCGTGCTTTCTGGAACTTCTAGTGACCAGCCGTGCCCGTAAGCTTCCCTATAGAAGTAATTTATCAACTGGGAAGAGGAATAGACGGGTGTATTTACCGGTTACCGATCAAAGGTTCACTTTTGAGGCGTTTGATAGCTGAATAGGCCGTTGAAAAGCGGATTAGCTGACGAACCGTCAATGCGTGCACGTACGTACGGGCTATGGTCAGTGATCGCCGTAATCAACCGGAATGTGAAGGGAGTCAAGTGAATTAAGGCTCTTCATAGACAGAATCGTGTCATTTCTCACTCGTGGTGATCTTCGATTGAGCCGTCGTTGCATGTGAATTAGATAGCCGAAGCAGAGTGTCTAAGCGTTGATGGATTGCCATGTCGGCTGAAGACGACACGCCCGTCCGACAACACAACAAGTCTACTGAGAGCGATTACGGATGCAAGCTTTACATGAGCCTGAGAGTCTGAGAGCTTCCAAGCGGCACTTGTTTATTCAAGCTTAAAAAGTGGTCCTGAAATCTCCTTCGTAAGAGCGGCTCCCAAAAGGAGCATACGTAAGTAGAACTTCCAAAATGGGAAGGTTCTTTTCGTGCTGGGATTTTGCTAGATCCAGCTCAATAAGGGAAAACTAGGAAATTTAGCAAATCGTGTTAGGCAAAGGCCTTCTGGTAGGCTTGGAAATTCCCGAAATGTTTACCGATTTGATAATGTAGTCTGTGAGCCATTCCTAAGGTAGCAAAGCTTCAGGGACCTACGGATCCATTCTCAGTTGGGTCAGTTGTTCAATGCTCACTTCCTCCGACTCATTTGCGGTGATGTGATGAGTTTCTTTTAAAAGATTCCCATCTCCGATTTCCTGAATCCATTACTCCATGCCCATATTTCATGGATTCAGAGAAATCGTTAGAGAAAGGCTTTCAGTTTTTTCTTCATTTCCGCTTTCTAACTTTTCTTTATTGACTTAGTGTGTCCCGTCTTTCTTCAGGCCTTCAGGCTAATGTGAAATTGGGAGAGGGCAAGCTGATGTTGTGAAATTCGATGAAAACTTCCGATCGAGCCCGGAATTGGTCCACATCTAGCTTCAAATTTCTTCGTTAGCTTGTTTTTTGGGGTCAGCCCCTACTCTGCTCCCTTTTGTGGTTTGCTTCATTGAAAGGAGGTGTTTTCAGTAGTTTTTCAAAGTTTTGGTGCCCGGCCATTCACGTTTTTCTACCAATCGTTAAAGCTAACCGCCAGATGGAATTCCTTTTTCGATTGTGAAGCAGAAGCTTTTTCTAGCCCTCAAGTCTGCTTTTTCATACGTTTTCAGAACCTTTGAATAGTGTAACCACTTACTGGCAGTCCATTTTCCCAGCTCTTAGGCTTATCCTTGAGTAGCACCTCTGAGAATTGCAAAAGGTGAAAGGGAGCGGTTGTGGTATTTGAGGTTTGGAGAAAGCAAGCTGCTGAAGGCCGAAAGAGAATTTTAGCTCCTATTCTTATCGGAATCGAAATAA